GTGACTCACTGTTTGCATCTCTGCCTGCTATAAATGCCTTGAAATAATAAAAAAGATGGGAGATCTCCCTTTCATATGGGGGAATATTTTGCTCATTTTCCTTAAACGAGGCAAAGGGCACAGTGTGCTGTAAGTGACAGCAATTAAATTCTCTGCATAGTGGTAGAAATAAAATAATACCACTAATGAAGGCTAGAAATAAAAATCCCCATCCCCTCCTTTTATGAAGAACACAAAACATGGATAAAACTTAATTTCTTCCCTTGAGTTTACTTCCAGTGGTTGCATCAGGACCTTGAAATACTTGTGACATACCATTGACTTTATATTACCTTTTTACTCTTTCATCTAGCACCTTCATCCATCTGCCATGCTGTTATCTCTCTCTATTCAGATGAACTCATCTCTCTAAAAAATAGAGTATTTTATAATGGATTAAAAAAAATTTGTATTATTTTTCATTTTGATGTCATTTAAAGATGCTTAGGTATAGCAACCAGTAATGTCCCTATTAGGCCTGCTTGGAGACACAGACAGTGTTAATAAATCTAAAGAAAACCTTCCAGTGTCAAAGTGTTTATAGCTGTGGTGGGGATTCTGTGATTTAAATTTATTTATTTAATGTAAGCCTTGCTGTAAAATTGCTATTTCTGAGCTTATTATTATTCTGTTCTGATATATGTGTGTGTGTTACAATGTAAAGTACATTTGCAGATAGGAATATTGGATACAGATAGTATATACACGTAATAAATGTCAGAAAAGACACAAAAGGAAAAGAGCCAAAGTGAATTTGGACTCCTTACACGTCTGAGAGACAATTTCAAGACAGATTAACATATGCAGAATTAAGAGATGAAGAGCTGTCTTCATACTTCAGCTTGGGTTTAATTACATAAATGATTCTTCTAGTGAGCTGGTCAGGTCTATACTATATAGCTGAGAGATGAGGTTCCCAAAGGCTTGGAAACTTCTCACAGAGTATTCCCAAGTGTAATGAAAAAGATAACTCTGTTACACCAAAAAGAGGAAAAGGAGAAATGGAGCTGTTGAAAATGCTCCGTGTGTGTGTGGGCATGCTCTGGACATATTTTATCTCAGAATTAAGATTTCATTCAAGGGGGGTTAGTGAAAATTAATTGCATGAGCTGTATGTATTCATACAGCTCAACTCTTTGGAAAGTGAAAACACTAGATATAATCTAGGACTATTTAGTGGATCTACATAACAGTTACAGAATGCAATACAGAATGCAATATTATTAATGCCATTGATAATATTGCTGATGTGACAGTTATGGGACAAGGTATTTTGGAAATAAATATAACTGCAGTGTACATTGGTGGAAAAAAACTGTATGGAAAAATACTACCCAGCAGTGACCATTTATTTTGAAAATCAGCGGACATTAATCAAACAAACATTGAAAGACTATGTTCTGATTGAAAATGAGGTTTATCAAATGATTGAAAAAAAGAAAAAGCAAAGTAGAATGAGTAAAAATAGTGTTGAAAATAGTTTCACAGTCTATCAGATGTCAGCAAAATACTGTAAGGAATTACTTTGTAGTTTACAGGTATTTTCCTATAAACTGATTACAAGGTTAGCAAGCACAACTAAAACAAAACTACAACTTATGAAAAGCTATACCTTTTGCAAAGGAGTGTATCCTCTTGTGAACAGAAGGTCATCAAATCAAGGCTGCTTAAAAAAGGTTTGTGGAAGGTCCCTGTTTCCTGAGTTTATATATTTTAGTAATTATAATTATCACAGTAATCAAAAATTTGTTTAAAGTCTAAAACATTCATATTAACTGATAAACTTCAGTGTTTTAGAATAGTAAACTGGGATGTTCTGGCATTCTAATTTTTATAGTCAGATATATGTTTGTAAGTCAACAGGATTCATATTTATAAGTTTTGGAAGCTGTATTGGTGTCATGGCTTTTCATTGTGCAATCTGTTGCAGATTTTTATCATAAATGACAGCCCTTCACTGGTTATGCATTTCTTCTGAATGCTGTTAGTGGCACTACTTTTCATTAATAGAAGGATCAGAACTATTTTTTTTTTTTTAAGTTAAAACTCAATGATGTGGCAGAAGGAGGAAGAATCTACATCAACTGTTCGTTGCATTAAATCATTGGAGCAGTATTGAAGTCACAAGGGTTGGAATTGAGCCACAGGAACATGTGTCCTTCTGCTTTTGCAAATTATAGGTCTCATTTTTAAGTACTGCTGTCGTCTGAGATTTAATAGACCTAATTGGCCTTATGGATGAACTCTGAAGAATTTCAACTTTGAACTTAGGAAGGGAAAAGAATCTGAACTTTCTCTTGTTGACAATTATTTCCCATGTATCAAATAGAAAAAAACCCATAAAGAGTTACAGTTACTGAATAGGGGTTGTATCTTATTTCTCAAGTGTAGATTCATTTATTTTGAAATCTCAAGAACAGAGAAACTCCCTCTAGCAGAAACTCGTTTGTGTGGTATGGGCTTGTCAGCATTATAATTCCATTCTTCAGGCTATAAAAATTTGCTTGAAGCCAAAAGCTGGATGTGAAATATTAACCTTGTGATAAACTTGATTTATCCAATTTGGTCAAATTTGGCTTCATTTTGAATAGTTCAGAGGTTCAACCAAAAAGAAATTTGTTTCTTTTGACCATTCTGCTCTTGCTTTACTCAAATTGCAGCTTGTGTGTAACTGGCTGTCTCATGCTGCTTATGTGGAACTCTTGGAGTGTTTACTTTACATGGCTGCCATTTTTCTGGATGGAAAATAAACACTAATATATGGATGAGATATATCCCAAACTGACTCATCTCAGTTAGACTTCCTTATTGCTCCAACTGAGCTTGGTCTAAAATTCCTGTAAACAGAGTAACTGTGTGTTAAGGTTTAAACCTGGTGAACTGCTCACTCCTTCTCCAGTGGGATGGGAGAGGGAATCAGAAGGGTAAAAATGAGAAAACTCATGGATTGAAAATAAAGAAGATGGTAAAATAGGTAAAGCAAAAGCATTGTGCAGAAGCAAAACAAGGAATGCATTCACTCCTTCCCCTGGTAGACAGGTGTTCAGCCATGTCCAGGAGAGCAGGGCTCCATCATGTTTAACCTGTCCTTGGGAAGAAAAATGCCATCCCTCCAAAAGTCCCTTCATCCTTCTTTCTCCAGTTTTATATACATGGCTGAGCATGGTACAACATGGTATGGAATATCCTTCTGTTCAGTTGGGGTCATCTGTCCCAGCTGTGTCCCCTCCCAGTTTCTTGTGCTTCTTGCTGCTGTATGAGCAGGAGAAAAGGCCTTGACTCTGTGTAAGCACTGCTCAGCAATAACTGAACCTGTCACGTGTTATCAACACTGTTTTCAGCAAAAATCCAAAACACAGTCCCATGTGAACTACTGTGAAGAAAATTAGCTCTATCCCAGCCCAAACCAGTACATTGTGTTAATTCAAAGAAGATTAAAAGCCCAGTGAGATGAATTTTCACTTTGATTACTGACAGAGATTTGCTGCTGAATGAATGTATCGTAGTCATACTGCCACTGATGTAAAATAAACCACAAAGGATATTTCATTCTGTTTTCTAATGGGCTTCTTGCTTCAAGTCCTCAGCTATGAGGTGGCATACTGATATACAGACCAGCACTGCTTTTGGATACTATCAGACAGCTCCTTATTTTAAAATTTCCTCATGAAGAAAAAGGAAACAATTTTTGGAATGTGAATTTCAGTAATGTGTTCTTATTCACAATTATGGTGGTGCAAAAGACAAAATTGTCTCCTTTTGCTGCTGTTCTTTTACAGTAATCAATATACAACCATAATATTGCAGCTTAAATGTGAAGAGAAGCACTTTGTATGATATGATCTGCCTTGTGTTAAAAATTCTTTGCCTAAAGTTTTGACTACATATACATTTCCCGATCCTGATTTATCTTTATTGTTTCTTAAGAGGGCAAGCTAAAATAGAGTTGGAAGCTTTCAAATGAGGATAGGTGTAATCATAGAATTTTCTCAATGTAGGCAAATATGTGCAGCTAGGGGAAAAGTCCTGATTGTGGTCTTGTATTCAACTTGTTCTATTTTTCTGTGTCCATAAGATAGAATAGGATGTTAGTTGTAGGGCTGAGGATTTCACTGAACTCCGAAAAAAATGTAACTGGGACATAGAGCAAACGGAACAGAAGAGAATGGCTAACAGTTGCTGTTTTTTCTGTTTAGCTGGCATATTTCTCATATTTAAGGAAATTTGGAACTGTGATTGCATAAATACAGAATCATTCTGCCTGTTGGTGCCAATGTTCTGCACTTAGTTTACTGGATTACATTTTTATTGCTTCGTTGCTGGATGAATTAATTTGTCAGAAGGTTGGACTTTTTTTGATTTTAGTAAGCCTCTGTAAAAATTTAATCTACATTGTTTGGGGCTCTAAGCTCTGACAGGCAAAAGAGGGTGTATATTTTTTATTTTCTAAAAATAGATTCAGATTGAAAATAATAATGTTTTTCAGTAGACTTGGAAAGGAATGGGCAAGCCTAAGCCATGATTCAGAGGAATGCCCTTATAAATTAGAACTTTGAGATGGATGTAAGTTATGTGCTCAGATAGCATAATAGGAAAAAAATGGGAGTAGAAAATGTCCCAAACAGATGCCTAGCAGCAGGTTTTCACAGAAACAAAAAATGTGTGGAATGTCCTGGACATGATTATGCAACTGAGAGGTAAACATTGGGCTACTTAGGGAAATCCAAAATTATCCAGGGCCATGTGGGACACAGTAAACTTTGAAATGTAGAGAGCTATTAATGCTATTATATGCTTCAAATATCTTCAGATGTTCTTAGCTATACAGAGATACTGATGCTGAATTGACCATCACCTTCACATGGTTTACATCATCACTGCCTCTCCTTTAGTGAATCCTCAGGGGAACTCATATGGGTAATTTGTTCAATTTTTGCCTTCTTTTGTCTGCTTATTTATAGGTTGCTTCTGAATTCATTATATGGACGTTTTCCATCCTTATGGTATTGATTTAACATGCTCTGGAATCATGATGGTTGTGAAGTCCCTGGCTGGCAGTGGAGAATTCATGTTTGGTGTGGCAGAAAGGTGCGTTTAATTTGTGCTACTCACTGCTTTCCACGTGGAGCTTGTTTCTTTCCTGAAACCCCTTTGATTCTTCTTACAGAAAATTTCAAATATCTCGAATCAATAGCAATTATCTTTGCCTAACTAAGATGTAATTTACAGATAGAGCTGCGATCTGCATGAAGCAGTTCCATAAGTAGACTGCTAAAATGGACATGATTCTTATGTGGATAACAGAGATCTGCAGTTTATCTAAATAAAATGCAGAGAGTTTAATGTTTATATTTTTGTTCCAGTCATAAATATGTCTGAGTAAAGAAAGCTAGGAAGGTCTCTAGGAAATAATAGCTAACTTGCTATTGTGCACTTAGGTTGTCTCACAAGTCAAAAATTGATTGTGAAATTGTACAATTCTTCATAAATGAACCTATCTTTGGGTAACATATGTTTGATATAAAATGTGACTGTAGGTAACAAAATCATGTTGTTCTTTTCATCTGCAACTTATTTGTCTGTATAATTTGACCAAAATCCCATAGTGATTAAAGTTGCAAAGATTCATTTCTGACCAGGATATGAAAGAATCTTTCCTCTGAAATAGCCTGATTTTTAGTCAATTCATGACCTTTACAAACAAAGCCAGGACTTTTTTTGAGGAGTCACTATTTTAACAGTCAATAGGCTGACTAGGATAACAGTTTTGTGCTAATTATATTTCAGTCTGTCCAAACCTATTTAAGTCACTTTTACATAGTGGCTTCTAATTTATTTGCTTTTCCGCTGTGACAGATCTGACCTCACGGTAAAGTGGACACATTACTTTCATAATCTGCAAGCCACTGTATTTTTTCCAAATTATTGGGTTTTGTTCAACAAATTTTGGACAAAATTCTATGAAACATGGGGAAATTGTGGGGCAAAAATCCTGTGGTAGGCAGATATGGCTTGATTGTTTAAAAGTACTAAAAAAGCTTAAATCCTCTCAAAACTCATCAACAATCTTTTTATATTAACTACATAAAATATGCATAGTGTATGGTGTAGCTGATGCATTATTGACAGTTAGTTGTCCTAACAGACAGATGTGCTGTCATTCAAAATTTATGACAGCAAAACCAGTAAAATAGTGCAAACATTAAAATAGTTGTTTATTATCCTACATAAATCGTACATCTAACGTGCTGTTATGAATATTCTAAAACTTCCCTGGTTGGTTTTGCTTTGTTTTGGGCTTTTTTTCTTGTTAGAAATAAGAAATAAAAACTAAACAAAATGCTAGTGATTGCCTGTTAGAAATTGAAGATGAAATAAAGCCAGAATGTTCAGGTATTGTCATGAGAAAGGGAGGGAGTACTAGTCTTTTTGGTTTTTATATTGTAGAAAATAGTTGGTTCATTATCATAATTACATTGGTGTTCATGATATCAAGGTCAAACAAAATAATAGTAACAGTAGAGTGATGTCATTTTACTGATTCAGGTAGATATTGAGGTTATGAGAATTTGGTGCTGCTGAAAAGAGACAGGTGAATATCAAACCCAGAGGACCTTCACTGTATTGCATATTCTTTACCATCTGTTTGGGAATTCTATATTCAGCCATGGACTGGGAAAGGATTAAAAGTTACATCTCCTTGTTTCCATTTCACTTTTTTTAAAATGCTGCTTTCAAGTTAATATTATGATGGAATGTGTATATTCTTAATTTGAACTTAAAAGTTTGGATTTTTGTAAAAGAAAAACATGTTTTCTATTAAGTGTTTATATTTTAAAGCACTGAACTCTTCATTATTTATTCTGGTTCAAATAGTATTTCCTTGGTCATTAATGAAAATCATTAATAGTTTCAGCAATGAGTGTTGGCTGTTTCTCTCTCTTGTCTCTGAAATCTTTTGTAATAAGAGGAACCATTTACTTTGCCCTTTTAGTTTAAAAAAAAAAAGAAGTAATTTAAAAGATTTATGCCAGTAGAACATGGAGAGTATTAAATGAGCTTCACATTGGTTCTAAACCCAATAGATATTTAACTGAACAGTATTAATGGATGTTTAAAGGCATTTTGATTAGTTCATGCAACCAGCTCAACTTCCTAATAGAGGAGGCATGGTGATAAATGTGTGAAAAGAACTATGTTGATTAAGTAGTGTTGCTCTTTTACGCAGTCCCTGGCAAGGCAACAGCATATGAAGCATAAAGTCAAAACTTTACCAGCTGAATCAACACAGGAACATTTTGTTTGGGTTTTATATAAAACCGTTGTTGTGATAATTAAAAGATACTGCTTCCTAAGTTTTCCAATATCTGATTTTGCTTTAATTAAATTTTCTACGTGTTAAATAAATATTGGATGTAAGTTTGAATTGACAGTTAAGTTAGAAAATCAAACAGTGTGTGTGTCTTAAAAAAGCAATGATTATTTTCTGAGTCCAACTGGCTGATCTGATTTAGCTAAAGCTTTGCAAAAATGTCATCTTGATAGACATATGGAGCTGGAAAACATCATCCGATAATTTGTCAAATGCACATATGTGTTTAAGAAGATCTCCGAATGGGAACATTTTTTTGCTTAATGAGAGAAACTTCTGGCTCATTCCTTGATACATCTGACCTCAGCTGATCTCTCACAAGAAAGAGAGCATCACAAGAGAGGTCCAGGGGGCACCCAGCTACCCTGGGTGTCCCTCACAGCCCCCAGCAGCCATGCAGGGGTGGGCACAGGGCATTTTGGGCTGCTGGAACTAAGGCCGTAACAATGTGACTAAACACTCGAGTCTTAGCCCTTAAGAGATGCAGTGTTTGCTGAAGGTGACCTTTTGTTTGAAAATGAATTGCATGTGTTACAGTGATAGTAAAACAATGGTTTTCCTATGTTATGGAAGTTTTCAGTTTTTTTCTTTGTGCTGCAGAGCGCAATGTCTTCAACAGAGTGTAGCAGTGGCAGATTTATGAAACTGTTTGAATATGGCTGTGCTAAATATATGGTCTTTGATATTGAGAGGTTCTTTTTAATTTGTTTTAATCTTGTGCGTGGTGTGTAAATGAAAGGAAAACAAATGTTTTTTTCAGATCACTCAAGAAAAGTAGGAAAATAACTGAAATAGCTGGATGTTTCTGTTAAAATGTGCCAGTGCTTGGCTAAAATTATGGCACTTAAACAGATTTACATTTTGAACCATGAAAAAGAAGGCATTTGGGTTCCAGCTGGTAATTAACCCCTACCACTTTTTCCCTGGCCTCAGCTCCTCTGGCAGGGTATGTATTCTGGAGGGAGGACCTAATCTGTCTTTTATCCTCTCTAATTGCTCTGCTCCTATAATTGGATGTGTATGTCTGTACCCACTGCAGTGGTTGTGGCCCCATCTTCCATTTCAGGAAGGTGGAATTACTGAATCACATCTGCCACACCTGGCACAAGGATCTCAAATTTTGAGTGAAAGTGGGATTTTCCTTAAATTTAGTGGGATGTATGGAAAAGGAGAAGAAAGGGCATCTAGGGGTTTTGTTATTCTGTTGATTTATTTTGGTTTTGCCTTTTTCTTTTTCTCTTTATTTTTGTATTTTTCCCTGTTTTTCTTATTTATTCTCTGGGAGCCTGTGGCAGTTGGTGTTGCATTTACACAGATCTGAGTGACATGACTTTTGGCCATAGGCTGCATCAAGTCTCACAGCAAATATCTGATTACCTCCTGACCAGCAGCTAACCCTGTTCTCCAGCTGCTCAGTAAAGAAGGATATCTGCTATCCAGCCATTAATCAGTGTAATATGTTCTTGGTCTTCTCACATCAGCCCCGTGCCTTCACCACATTCTCCCTGCTTTTATTCCTGCTTTCCCCCTGCCTGTCAGGTACTCTGAGACCTGACAGTCCTCCCAGCTTCCTATCACATTACTTTTCAGTTGCTGGCAGGAAGAATTATATAGTTATCCGTGGACATTGCTACAAGATGCATTTAATGAATGGCCAGGCTGTCAAATATTTGAAAGTGATGTAGGAGGAATGTTTCTTGCCAGTTTGAATAAGTGTCTGAAATCTGGGATTTGCAGTAAGTGTACAGGTTCTCAGCTTGTCTGGGCAGCAGCTGCCTGCCTGCAAGAGAAATGAAGCTATGGAATGGCTGTGCTTGTGAAAAATGTCAATATTTGCCTGCTGTGTTGCTGACAATTTTTAGTTCTTCTTGTAAAATGTTCCCTAATTAACCACTGGCATGAGATGCTTCATGGGAATTAGATGTCATTTTTTTCAGAAATAAAGGAAGAAATATTTCTCATCCAACTGGGAGTAATTGGCAGCTGTGCCCAAAGTCTTGATATTGCTAAGTCAGGTCTTTAACTGAAGTGGAGGGTCACATTAAGGCTTGTGAAAGTTGCATGATGATTTAGTTTCTTTCTTATTGGTGTGACATGTCTGATACCCAGCTCCTCTGATTCTTTGCTCTGTACTTTTATGTGGGTTTGCATAAATACCTGCTTGAGCTGAATCACATTTCCTTTGCCCTTACAATTCTCCATGAGCAGTGCAATTAAACAGCTCATGAAAAATAGTATACTAGGAGGATTTTACTTAGGCCAGTGTTTATAGCACTTAAACCAGTGTATCTTAGGCCTATCCTGTGTTGACATAAAAAGCTCATAGAGAAAATGGCATTATTACAGGTATAGAGCTGCTGTAACATGTAATCATATGGTTCTCTTACAGCCCTTAAGAACTTTTTCCCTATATACAGTCCTGCTTTATGTAAGAGGGAAACTTCTAGGATATTAAGCATGCTCACATTGTGTTAACATTTGAATTTTGGCACCAGAACTGGTATTGACAGTTAGTCCATGCTGCAACATGCTACTCATGTTTCTAGAATAGTTTTTTTTTTCTGCTTATTAATAGTAGGCGCTTTAGTGTTGCTCGAAAATGTAAAATAGAGATGGTTGAAAATTATCTCAGGTGGAGTAATTTTCAGTAAGAGAAAAGTCTGGGGACAGCAGAAAGCCCAATATAGGATCATTCCTGCCAGATACAATAAAGTAT